TGACACTGATGGCGATGAGACAAGGCGAGAAAGAATCACTGCGTAAATATGTCGCTCGATACAATCAGGCTTGCTTGGAGATTCCGTCGGCGGTCGATGAGGTCAAGGCGGGAGGATTAATTAGGAGTTTGCGGGCAGGACCGTGTCAGACTTCTCTGGCTAAGACTCCTGCTCATACGTATGATGAGGTGCTGAGGAGGTGTAGGAAATATATTAATCTCGAGGAGACCGAGGTAGAGTTTGCCAAGCTAGAGGAGTTAGGTCGAGGGGAGTTGAGGAAGGAGAAAGCAGTTTCGCCTAAAAGGAGAGCCTCGCCCAGGAGAGAGGGGCGAGCTAAGCAGGATCGAGGACGAGAAGACAGATGGAAGGACCGACCTATCTCTGGAGGGAAAAGATTCCATGATTACACCCCATTGAATGCGAAGGTAGCTGAGGTCTTGATGGCCATGGAGAAAGGGATAGATGGGAAAGATGTGACGTGGCCAAGGTCGAGGTTCGAAGGGCCAACCCAACCGAAGTCGAGGAGATATTGCCGCTTCCACAAAGACTATGGCCATACTACTGAGGATTGTCGGCATCTCAAGGACGAGATTGAGCGCCTTATTCGAGCAGGGCATCTCAAGGAGTTTGTCTATCAGGATAAGGGGAGGAAGAAGGAGAAGAGAAGGTGTGGGGAGGACTCGGTGGAGAGGAGCGAGGAGGATGATGATGAGGATGCACGAGGTGGTCGAGATGGTCGAAAAAGAGATGAGGAGAAAAGGAGGCGAGGAAGTAGGGAGCGGGAAAGAGAAGGAGATGGAGGCCAAGTGAAGAGAGGCACGATATATATGATTTCAGGAGGACCGACGGACGGCGACTCGAGTAATGCAAGGAGAGGCCATGTTCGAGCAATGAAAAGGAAAAGAGAGGAGGTGGGTATCACGACCCGGGTACCAGAAATCAGTTTTCGAGCAGAGGATGCAGCAGGGGTGGTAGTACCTCACAATGATGCCTTGGTAATTACAGCTGAAGTTGCAGGTTTTGATGTGAAGAGGGTGTTTATAGACACAGGGAGTTCGGTCGATGTCATGTTTTATGATTGCTTTGTGCAAATCAATCGGGAGTTGAATGTGGAGCTGAAGCCGGTGGCTACGGCCTTGTATGGCTTTAATGGCGGGGAGGTTATGCCAATGGGGGAAGTGAGTCTATTTGTAGCACTGGGAAAGGGAGCGACCCGGAAGGTTCGAATGGTGAGATTTGTGGTCGTAGGAGCTGAATCATCCTACAACATCATAATGGGGAGAACGAGCCTAAACGCATTCCAGGCGGTCGTGTCCACGTACCACATGACGATCAAATATCTGGTGGGCGAAAACGTTGGTGAGATCGCTGGGGATCAACTTACCTCGAGAAGCTACTACCAGACCACTGTGAGCAACAACAAGCAATTAGCAAGGAGGCAGATGCACCCTAAGGGGGAGGAAGTTAATCGACCGAGAGGGTCGAGGTCGAAGGAGGAGAGGCATAAGAAAGAGAAGGGGAAGGAGAATATAGAAATACAGCCGGGTGGTGAGGTGGAGGAGATACATATGGTCGAGGGGTGTGAAGAGAGGAAATTTCGGATCGGGAAGGAATTGGAGGAGCCAGTGAAATCGAGGCTAATTAAGGTGATAAGAGATTTTGCGGATATGTTCGCATACTCGACGGAGGAGTTGATTGGCATCAAGGCAGAAGTTATTGAGCACCGGTTGAACATTGACCTCACTGTAAGACCGGTGAAGCAAAAAAGAAGACACCACAGGGCAGAAATGGATAAAGTAATCGAGGCGGAGGTAGAAAAACTCTTGGTGGCAGGTCACATAAAGGAGATCCAGTTCCCAGAGTGGCTATCGAACACGATTATGGTCTCAAAGTCAGAGGGGAAATGGCGGATGTGCATAGATTTTCGAGATTTAAACAAGGCATGCCCGAAGAATTTATACCCGCTGCCCAGGATCGACCAGCTGGTCGACTCCACAGCCGGGTGTGAGCTACTCAGTTTGATGGACGCATCCCAGGGTTATCATCAGATCCCGCTGGCCCGAGATGATTGGAAAAAGGGTCAGCTTTGTAACAAGCCGTGGAGCATACTGCTATGTGGTGATGCCATTTGGGCTAAAGAATGCATAAGCGACATATCAGAGGTTGGTGGATAAAATTTTTAAGGATCAGCTGGGAAGAAACATGGAGGTGTATGTAGATGATATGCTGGTAAAGAGCAAAGAGGAAATTGACCATGTAAATGACTTAAAAGAAACATTCATGACCCTTCGGAAGTATGGGATGAAGCTGAATCCCGCTAAGTGCTCATTCGGGGTCAAATCTGGGATGTTTTTGGGCTACATGGTCACGAAGAGGGGAATCGAGGTCAACCCGGAGAAAGTAAG